TATCGCCGCGAACATTGATGGAGGTAAACTCATGCTGTACACCCAGAGAGGGTAACTCTCGGGGGAGAAAAGAGCCAATGCGCTCTAACCTTTTTTTGCGGACAACAAACACACGTTTCATGTTGGATTGTTTTTTGTGGAGGATGATGAGAGTCAGACGTTTGCCAACACCCCGCTGTACTTGGATGGTGCGTTGCACCTCTCGCAGTATGCGGTTATTGGAGCAAGCAGGACCATTTCACTTTCTCGCCTGATGGAGGATCTGCAGACGATCAGGTCCGCCCTCAGTACTTGGGCACAGCTGGATGCCTCCTTCTCCGCTTCGTCCATGCCCACGGCTGGTCTGGTTGGGCTCTTATCCAATGCAGCCAGTGGTGACGGGACGTGGATTGACGATTACCTTTGCGTGAATGCAACGGTGACGAATGCAGTGAAGGTTGAAAATGGGTTTCAATTCACGAGGCCTGGATCCGGGGCAACGTGGCCCGTAAACAGCCGGGAGAGAACTGGGCTGTACACTTCTGTAAGCCGTGATTTCACTCTTGTGGCGACGGTGGCCATACAAAAGGTTCCGAGGTTGAGCACTTCTCTGCTGGGTGCGGTGCTTGCCTCACCGGTCAGCACGACTATCATTGGGCTGTCGCACAGCACTGAGGGTAAATGGGAGACAGCGTTTGACGGCAATAAAACTGCACATGGCAGCACGTGGGAGCCGGAGAGAGAATAACAGGTGGCGCTGATGCTGCAGGGCGGCAACAAGGAGCTCCGTGTACGTGGATGGCCGGCTTGTGGGGAGCTTGGAAACGAGAGCAACACCTAAGACGCGTGGGGCTGAAGTCTCGCACTTCTACATTGGGGGAGACGACGACGACAGCGACGGCGATGTGACGATGACGAGGGTCTTTCTGTGCGACCGCCCACTGAGTGACGATGAACTAAAAATGGTCAAGAAGAGCGACGCCAAAAAAATAATGGTGACGACTCCATGCGTGGGGGCGTGCCGCGGGTGCTGCTGCTGCTGGGGCTGAGCGGATTTTTGGTCCTTTACTGAGAAGTCGGAGCGGGGAGTCCCTGCCACCAGTAGGAACATATTTGCCTCTCTACGCACCCTCCGAAATAATTGACTTTTTGCGTGGACGCACCCTTTATTTTACCTTTTTCTATTTCTGGTTTGACTACCTCATTCTGCCCGTGTAAGTCTTTACGAAGGGTGTGCTCTCCCTCCGGGGACTGCACCGCAAGGCATTTGTTTGTATATATATATATAGTGTAACTTTTTGAGACTGGTGGGATGTCTTTAATGTTTCCGTATGTTGATGACACGTGCACTCGGCATTGAGCGCCACGACGATGGAGCGATGAAAAAAGGGGGCTAGATGTGCAGCAACGCACTGAGTGTCCCAATGAAATGTAAGTGTTCTGTGGACACCAGAGGGTTGAACGGCTGAAGCAAATATATTCTTACTTTTGCAGGAAGAATATGCAACCATTTTTTTTTTTCTCTTTTTCCGCGTTACTGTGTTATTTTTTGTGGACTTAAAAATTTTTCAACGCGATTTTTTTTTGTTTTAACTTTTTTTGTTTTAAATTTAATTTTTATTTTCAGCAAGCGTATTGTGGGTTGACGCTGGTTGGGCTGCCGTGCCATGCTGAGCCTTATTGGACTTCTCCCTCTCTTTTTTTCCGTCCTGCACCTCTACTGCGTGTTTTTGTGTGCTTCTTTACGTGCGTGGCTCTCCTTTTTTTCGTTATTTCTTTGCGTGTCTGCAGGCACACAACCGCACGGCGTACATGTTGCGGTGCAGTTGTATGCTTCTCCTGCACTCGGTGGTGGAAGCTGCGTGTGGCTGCTGCTGCATCACTCCGTGGCAATGAAGAGAAGGAAGGGGGTGACAATGAGAGTGCGCCGTGGCTCTCGTCCTCTGTGGAAATGCTGAACGGCATTTGGCGGTATTGTTTTTGGGCGCCGCACCATCACGCACGAGGACTTGGCACGGAGCGGAAGACTTCTTCTTTTTTTTTTGTGTGTGTCTGCTGCTGTGGGTGCGTTTGCGGCCGCGCCGGACTTGTCGGCACGATGGCCGCAGCGTGTGGCTGTCACTCTGTTCTCTTGGGAAATATGCTGCCACGTTTTCACTTGTGTGTTTTTTCGGGGACAATGTGCCGGCAGCTGTGCGATTGCCGGATGGATGGAGAGGAGCGGAAGGAAGTGCGTGAGCGCAGCGGTCGAGAGTCGCGTTGGGTGTCTCGCCGCGGAGGGCACTGCCCACCCAACCCAGCACCGCTTCTGCCGGGCACCCTCTCTCACTCTGCAGAATCGTAACCGACGTCACCAGCACGCGGCGAGGCAGCGGATGCCGCCGCCACCACGAGTGTGACCTGAAGGGACACGCCTGATGTTGCGTTCCGAGGGGCACTTCGTGTGGCACAGCGGCGTGCCCACAAACTCCTCGCGGGGTCCGCACACGACACCGGGCACTGGCTGCGGGGTGTTTGCGTCAAATAGGACACTTTGTTGGAGTTCTTTCTCATTCCATAAGGACGGACGCCTGATTTTCCCTTCGTTTCCATCCAGGCGGGTTGCTGCGCGATGACACCACAACGAGGCAGTTGTTTTTACCATGAAGGAGCAATGTCTGCAGGGTTACGCATTGGGAATATGAATAACGAATGCAATATTGAAGGCAGCCTCATGGTTCTTTTGTGCTGTGCGAATTGCAGAAATTTTCTATACATATATATATATATATTTTGTGTGGGAGCTTTTCATGATGCATTGCTGCTGTGGCGTGTATGATTTGTGTTCCCTGCGTGTGGCCGTCGCTGCAGCGAATTCTCTTCCCACTCTTTTGTGTTAGGGGCTATGCCTACATGTATTTCTGCAGAGTGTTTGCGGTGACGGCGGTGCCACACGGGCGCGGGACCGTAGCGAGCGGAATGCGTGGGCGAACCCTCCGCGCCTACCACGGTGTTGTTGGTTTTGTTGTTAGCTTTTCCCAACACTGTGCTGGGTGAATGGCAGCCACTCGCCGTCGTTGCGGAGGTCCTCGTGCATGTGGTGTGCATCGCACGCTGTGCCGTCACACTGTGTGGATGACTCTATTGTTTTGGCTGCCCGTCGGGACTATGCCTATTTTTCTCATCTTTCTCATTTTCCTCCTTTGATTGGTGGTCAGTGTTCAGCTTTAACGCGAGCCAACTGCGGGGACAAGGGGAAACAATGCGTGGAAAGCGCAAGAGAGTGCACGGCGATCATGAGGAGGGCCCTGCGCCCACTGTGCCGCGGGAAGATGGTCGGAGGGGAGCGAGGCCGGAGACCCACAGCGACACAGATCAACCCGCTACGACTCGCAGAAGGGCGAATGATGTGCGGCGATTAATGTGGGCTATTTACAGTCGGGTGGAAGGGTAATTGCTGCAGGGATTGTAGGAGTCTGTGTACAATGCGAGGTGGCATCATGTTGTGGGGGTTCCTGGCGGCGAGTGGACGGGAATGGATGTGAGGAAAGGAGAAACACAGAAGTCATGGACGTACAAGGCAGTTTGCATGACTCTCGAAAAGGATGACGCTGTGGGACAATCCGGTGCACCGCGTCCCAGGCTGATGGTGCTCACCTCGGACAAGGGATGGCCGTACTCGTGGAAATGGGAGGAGCATAAATCTATTCATGACTGCTATGTGAACTGTGAGGTGGAGCGAGTGTGGCAGATCGTCAGCGGCGATCTGACCGAATGGTTCAGCAGTCACGTTGGGACTGAATTTACGCCTGTGCCGCGTGTGTTTGGGACGCCCGGGATTGGGAAGCCGATGGCTGCCGGTTCGTACCTCCTCTACCAGCTGCTGCACGGCGATGCGGAGCGACTCCCTGCGGTTGCGTGCTTTATTTGTAATTGAGCATCCCTGTTTGACAAGACCAACCAAACGGTGCGAGAACACGTGGGTACCACAACATCTAAGAGAGTCTTCTTTTTTTTTGGTAGCTGTGAGACTCTGCGACTGCGTCCTTGCCGTGCGTGTGGCATCTTTTGCCGTTGCTCCCTCGTTGTGTTGGTGGGGGAGGGGGCGAGCGACTGCGTCGGTGGAGTTGCGCTCCAGTGGGAGAGGGAAGGCGCTGACCGCTGCTGACGGCGACGGTCTTTGCTGCAGGCGGTCTGACGGGAATACGTCACCGGTGTCACACTTAACCGGGATGGATGTGGGCCGCGCTGCGTCTCTGTCCCCTCTCTTCGTCCTCTCAGTCCACTGCAGTCAAACCCGCCGCGCGGCATCTGCACGACTACCATCCGGACGTCTGTGAGCCACTCGGAATGTACAATCGGTGTGGTCCCTTTTCCCCGTGACCAAGTGCTGCCGCCGTGCTTTTTTGTTCCCTTCTTTGTGCAATGCCGTGTGCTCATGGTGCCGCTGCTTGCTGTGCAATGCCGACTCGCGTGAACGAGAAACGACGCTTTGACTGCTGGCGACCGGCGAGCTCTCCACTCCACTTACGCACCACCAACACCAACACCTTTCGGACGCGCTTGATGGCTGGCGGTCGTATCGCTGCCACGTGGTCTGCCTCGGCTCTTGTGTTTTGTTCACGGCATCGGGATTGCCCTGTGATGGAGTCATTCGGTAACAGGAGCGCTGCCAGTGGTCATGCTTCTTTTTTCCGGGATTCCACCACTCGGCACGGTGGCTGTGTGAGGCTGTGTGGGCGATGGTTTCACTGAAGTGATTGCATCTCCACGGCTTTGCTTCGGTGGCCGTACTGTGACGGGGATTGTGTATAGCCGGATGTTTTTGCGTGTCACTGTGTTTAGTTACTGTTGTTGTTGCTGCCTCTTTTTCTTTTCCTGACCGTGCAGTTAGAGATACTTTTGCTTGACCAGCACAACTATCGTTTCAAGGTGTTAGGAATTACTTGCAGTAGTAGTAGTATTAATAGTGGGCTAAAGATCTGGCGGAATCGTGTCGCTGGATTCACCATCTGTAGGAAGGGATTTTGAAAGCTGGAATTATGGTCGACGGTGCGAGTGCGACACGCCACGACAGCCCTTTTGGTTCCCGTTTGGGTTGGTGGATGTGGTCTGCGGTGGGCGCGTGTCTGCGCAGCCGGCACCGTGTGCGGCGGAGGGCCATTGCGGCTGTGCGTGTGGCGCTGCTCGTTGTGTTGGCGCTGGTTGCGGCGGCGGCGTGGATGCCCGCGGTGCATGCGGTGGTGTTGCGACTGCGGGGCGGCACGGTGGACAGAGCAATCACGGTTGGCCACGCCGTGGACACGGTGCTGATGGACGGCGTGTACATCACGAACGGCGTGGCTGTTGTGTTTGACGTTGCGGCGATGCTTCCCGGCGCGCTGCGCATTGAATTGAGGAACTGCGTGTGCGACGGCGGTGCGCAGATCTACGTGCGGGGGCACAGCGGCGAGGCAGCGACTGACCGGAGCCTGGAGGTGAGCGTGAGCGGGCTGTCTGGGAGCTACTGCTCGCTTGTGTTTGCGCACAACCTGCCGGAACACACGAACGTGACGGTCCGCGACTCGACGATTGTGACGCCGGGGCCGATGCGCTACTCGCAGCTGAGCGGGCTGACGGACGCGGTGGCGTCGCCGCTTGTGCTGCACGCGACTTCGCTGTTGCAGACGCAGCTGCGTGTGAGCAGCACTGTGCTGAGGTCGTTGCAGGCGGGCGGGTCGGCGGTGTACGTTGGCGGCGGTGTGGACCTGCTGTCGAGCGCGGTGGTGCTTGACGGCGTGTTGCTGGAGGCGTCGGGCGGTCCGACCGCGTCCGCGATGCGTGTGGCGTCCTCGTCGCGTCTCAGTCTGCGGAGCCACTCGGTGTTCTCCGTGACGAACGTGTCGGTTGTGAGCAGTGGCGGCGGCCTTGTGCTTGGCGAGCGCCTTGCGGTGTCCGACTCGGTGCTGCGCTTCGTGGGCGTCAAGGGGTCTGTTGCGTCGTCGCTGGTGCGCTGCGACGGTGGGGCGGTCAGTGCCGGCGGGTGGCTGGAGCTACACGACGTGTGGGTTGTGGGCAAGGCGTTGTCTTTGGCGTCGCTGTCGGGTGTGACGCTGAGCGGCGGCGCCGTGTCGATTGCGCGCTGCACTGCCACCGGCGCGACGCTTGTCTCCGGGCCGACGATCACGAGCGGCGTCGTGTGGGTGCAGTGCAACCGTGCCGGCGGCCGGGTGCTGCAGAGCAGCGGCGACTACCGCATGGCCGGCCTGCCCTCCGTGAGCGTGGTGCCGTGCGACGGCTGTGCGGCAGCGCTGGCGTGCTTTGATGCGCTGACGGCGTCGTTCACCGAGTGCGTGTGCAGCTGCCGTGCCGGCGGCGTGGGCGAGGCATGCCTGCCGTTCGACGTGCCGGTTGCGAGGGCCGGCGGCGGTGGTGGCGGTGCGCCGGGCTGCGTGGGTGGCGTGACGCTGACGGAGTCGGTGACGGTTGGCGGTGGGCGGGCGACGGCGTGCTTCGACTCGGTGGTGTTCAGTGGGCCGATCACTGTGGCGGTGGATCTGCGCTCGATGGACGCGTTCGCTGACGCGCTGAACGTGACGCTGCGCCACTGCGTGCTTGCGGGCGGCGCGCAGCTGCGGATTGGCGGCCTCAGCGAGAGCACAGCGCGCCTGATGCCCCACGCCCTTGTCAACATGACGAATGTGACGTCGCTGGAGGGCACGATCGTGCTGCATGGCGCGATGCCGCTGCACTCGAGTGTGCTGATGGCGAACTCAACGCTGCGTGCGACGGTTGGTGGGTCGCAGTACGTGCCGACGACCCCTGGCCACGAGGAATCCCGGTACGGCCCCGCGCTTGTCCTGGACGGCGTCCGGCTTCTGTCGACGCGGTTTGTCATGACGCGGTCGACGCTGGTGTCTGGCGGGAGCTCGTGCGCTGCGATTCTCGTGGAGCGCGGCCTTTGCGCCAACCTGTCCAGCGTATTCTACATGGACAACTGCGTTGTCAGGTCGCGGGTGCACGTGATGTACGCTCTTGCGTCGGACCTGCGTGTCAGCGGCGGCTCCGTGTTCTCCATACAGAACAGCTCTTGGAGTGCGCCGAGCATTGGCTTCTACGAAGGCGCGTGTGTGTTTAGGGACGTTGTTGTGGCTGGCGGCAGCGTGCTGCAGATTGTGTCCAGCACTTTCCGTCTTGGCTTCGCCATGCTCATTGCAAACAGGCTGACTGTGACTAACGGTAGCTGGCTGGTGCACCGCGACAACGAGTTCCGCACCGCCTACGTTGTGTACGTGGAAAGTGAGAACGGCGTAGCGTTCCGCGATCGGAGTGTGTGGTCGATACTGCACAACAACTTCACGTACGGCTCGTACTCGTCAACAATTGTAAGTATGACAAGCAAGTGGTCACCACCATCCGACTCGTGCCCGATCATCTACGGCATGTGCAACGAGCTAAGAGGCTCACCTGTGACGAATTACAAAGAAGAGCTTAATATTGGGACGCCCGTGACGGTGCTGGACTGTGGTGCGTGCACCGTGGACGCCGTGTGCTTCGCAGCGAGGACGAGCAGCATCAGCGGCTGTGGGTGTGTGTGCGCAGCTGGCGGCTACGGTGGCACGTGTCTGCCAGCTGCGGTTCCGGACGGCCTTGGGCCGCTCCCGCTCCCCGATGCGGACGACGCGGAGGTTCGCTGCGTGCACGGTGGCAGCATCAGCTCCGTGGACGATCCTGATCCCGGCGTGCGTGGTCTGTGCTTTGTCAACGTGACCTTCACTGCCGCGATTGTGCTGGACCTGTCACATTTTGACGCACCACAACAGACACTCAACATCACGCTGCTGCAGTGCGTCCTCGTGGGCCTGTCGATCAAGGGGAGTGGTACGCGCGTGCACGTGAACGTGACATCTTCGATGCTGGATTTTGGTGCATTGGAGTTTGAGGGTAGTTTTGGTGCGAGCTCCCAGATACTGGTGGCGGGCAGTACGCTTGTGACGACGTCGGGCCATGCCATTTTATTTGTGAAGTTTACTCTCAGTGCGAATATGACACTTCTGCTACTCGACAACTACGTTGAGGGGAATAGTTACGCCGTCTATTTTTCCGTTGGGGTTGTTGTTGGTGGCGGGATCATTGTGAAGAACAATACGCTGAGCACAACGGAGGACGACGACGGTGTGGAATCATCTGTTTGCGTTAATGCTGTTGATGTGAAGAACGGAGGCCACTTTGACGTGGAGAACAACACGATGAACTCGGTCAATGGCGTTATTCTTTTTGGGGATACCACCGTGAGCTCCGCGGGGCTGCTGCGGGTGGCGGATTGCACCTTCATTGGCAGGACGGAAGTTTTTGATTCCGCGCTGGTGTGTGTGTCTGCCTCGGTGACACTCGAGGGCGGTGCGCAGTGGCGTGTGGAGGGCAACAACGTGGATGCAGCCTCAGTATTGACTATTCTGTATTCCTGGCAAAAGATTCATTTGTTGGGCAGCAGCACCACCGTGGTGCTTTCACACAACCGTCAGGTGGACGATAGTTATCCCTTTGCTGATCTTTTTCTGCCACAGACGATTGTTGAGTTACCCGCGCGGCTTGTGGTTGGGTGCAACCTGCAGGGCGATGAGGAGGTGTCGTACGACGATGTGTTTCCGGAGGAAGTGGAGGTGTTCGGGTGTGGCACATGCAACGAGGACGCGGCGTGCTACATGCCCGGGACGGAGTCGGTGGACCGCGGCTCGTGTTCGTGCAGCTGCAAGGACGGATGGCATGGCGCGTCGTGTCTTTCCTTCGAGGTGCCCAACACTGTTGTGCCGCCCTTGCCGGAGAGAGCCGTTGACGGCGACACGAGCTGTGTGGTGAACCAGACGCTGACGAACCTTACGCTGAACATGTGGAAGACGCACCACTGCTACGTGGGTGTGAAATTCAGCGGCGTGGGTGCTGTGCTGACATTTTCCTTCGACAGTATGCCGCTGCATCTCCCCATCAACATCACGCTCAATGGGTGCACATTCCGCGACGGGGCCGCGCTGCAGTTTTTTGGGGGCACTGAGGCGGCCGAGTCAGTCGGCGTCCTGATCCGCGTGAGCCAGACGGTGGTGCGGTCCTCCACCGTTGCTTTTATACGTGCCCTCCCGCAACACTGCGACATCGCCGTCACGGAGGTTGACGCGGTGCAGTCCTCCGCGGTCGACTTACCGGGCACTGTGAGCAAGACGCTGAGCGTATTGCTGCTGAGAAACGTCGTGCTGAGTGCGTCGACGCTGTTGGTCAGCAACGTCAATGCGCATGCATTGAGGTGTGGCGGGTTTGGTTTGTACTCGGTTGGGACTCTGACGCTGGTGGGTGGCAGTTCTCTTTACACGCGTTACTGCAGCTTTGATGGGTACGAAGACATGTTCTACGTGTACAGGCTCAGTGTCCGCAATTACTCCGTTTTTGCGCTGCTCAACAATACAATGTTCTCCGGGAGAAGCCTCCTGTATCAGCAGCAGGGATTCAGCGTGTCGGAACACGGCGTGTTGCGCGTGGTGGGGAACAACGGCTCCGTGCGCTACGCCATTTATAACGATGAATTGTGGACCGTCCAGCAGTCAAGCTGGTTGGATTGGCGTGACAACGACGTGGGATTGGGAGCGATTTTCAAAGTATGGGATTCCGCTTTTGTGAGCATTGACGGCAGCAGTGTGGTGACGCTGACGGGCTGCAAGATGGGCTCGACGGGGTTGTCGGTCTCCCTGCTATCGCGGGTTGACGCCGGCTACCGGTTCGTTGCTGGGTGCCTGACGGTCGCGGGACGGGAGGTGACGACGGCGGCCGAACTGGAGCTTCACGGCATCACCAACGTGACGACGGTTGCCGTGTGCGGGGAGTGCACGAAGGACGGCGACTGCTTCGCTCCGCTGACGACGGCGGTCATTGACTGCAAGTGCCAGTGCGCTGCTGGAGGGCACGGCGATGTGTGCGTCCCGGCGCCTGTGCCTGCTGGCCCGCCGTCACCGCCGTCGCCGCCACTGCGGCCCATTCCGCCACTGCCACCAACACCGCCTCCGCCAGTGCCGCCGGTTGGTGGGTGCATCAGCGACATGGAGTACCCCGCGATTGCGCATGCAGTGGGCGGCGGGCTGTCGTGGCTGTGCTACCGCAACGTGACGTTCAGCGGGGGCGGCATGAGCCTGACGGTGCTGATTGGGGCGATGACGGGCGACGTGGTGAATGTCACGTTCGATGGATGCACGTGGAGGGACGGTGCCGTGCTGCTGCTGGCGGGCAACGCGTACGCCGTTGTGGGGTTGCTGAACATCGTCGTCACCGGCAACACTTTCCGTGACGCGCTGCTCAGACCGGAGGGTGTGTTTCCACCGCACACGAACATCACGATCAGCGGGAACCGCTTCACGGTTACAAGGCTGATCCCTCGGTCGGGTTTGGGCCTTAGGAAGCCGTCGTGTGTTGCAATGAATGAGCTGGCGATCACCAACGACTCCGCGGTGGTGCTGAGTGGCAATGTGTTTCAGACCGTGAGGGCATCGTCAAGCGCCATTTACGTTGTCGGATCTGCGTTGAGGGTGTCGTGGCACTCCGTGTTTGCGGTGTTGGGCAACGTGTTTCATATGGACGGCGGTGACAGTACGCTGATTAATCTTGAGGGTTTTGCCCAATCCTCATCGCTGAAGGTGCTGAACAACTCTGCCGTGGTGATCCGAGGCAACGTTGTTTCGAGGCCGGTGAAGTACTTTTTATCACTAATTTTGGCTTTGCGTGTGGAGTCTCGGTCAGCGATCGTGTTTCAGGGCAACGACATGCAGAGAAGCTGGTTTGTGTTTTTTGCAAGCCACTTTTCCTACATCTACTACAACTCCTGGCTGCAGTTGAGCGGCAACCTCTGCCGTGAATCCCCATCGGAAGCTTTCCTCTTTCTGAACCCTACGGTGAATCTCCGCGACTCCACGGTGTCTGTGTCCGGCAACCAATTAATGTCCAGCACGGACACGCCGAAGACGCTGCTGATATCCTCAGGTTCCCGCGATCTCACAAACGGAGCGATTTTGGCCGCGTGCAACACTGTGAACGGTGAGGAGGGAGTGCAATACAGTATTCCGTCCGTGTACAACGCCACCATTCTGACCTGCAGCGACCCATGCATCCTTGCGACGTCGTGCTTCCCCGCTTACACGACGACAGCCTCGAGTGATGCCTGTGCCTGCACGTGCGCGGAGGGCGGCTACGGCGATGCGTGCCTGCCCGTTGCTGTCCCCGAGCCAGCGAGCACCGACGGCGCCGACTTGTGCGTGCGGGACGTACGTGTAGACGTGGAGGTGGACGCCGGTCTCGGGACGTCGGTGGTGTGCTACGTTGGAGTGACCTTTGCGGCGGACGTCGTGGTGGACGTGGGGTCGATGTCAGGGAGCGTGCGCAACGTGACGCTGGCGAACTGCACGTTTGTGGGCGGAGCGAGCGTGTACGTTGTTGGGTGGCGGTCCGACCCGCCTGCTGGCGAGCGCGCCGATGTGTTGATCAGCGGGCTTGAGTCGCGCTCCGGCGGCGGCGTGCTGGTGGCGAACCGATTTCCGCCGGGCTCGCGCGTCACTGTTGTGGACTCGGTGCTGATCGCAGAGAGGCGTGTTGCGTACCGTAACGCCTACGACCTTGGCGACGCCTCCGCGTGCCTCGTGGTGCACAAGGTGAATCTGACTGGGAGTGTGCTGACCATCGCGCGCACGCACGTGGTGGCGGGGTTCCGCGACGCTGTTGGCGTGTTGTTTGTTGGCGGCGTGGCGCTGTCGTCGCGTGGTGCGCTGTACGTGGACGGGCTTTTTGTGCAGACGGCGCTGGGGCTGTGCGTGTCGGTGGAGGGCGGTGTTGCGGCCAGCGGCGGCTCCGTTGTGGCGTTTGTTGACAGCGACTTCCTGCTGTGCAAGCACGCGGTGTCTGTGCGTGGGGCTGTGAGCGTGTCGGACTCCGCTGTGGCGCTTGTGCGGAGCGACTTTGCGTCGACGGAGGACTACGCGGTGGCGTTCTATTCGACGGTGAGCCTGGCCGGTGGGTCGATGTTGCTAGTGAAGGGCAACGTGCACGACGGTGTCTCGAGGGAGATGCTCTACGCCGCTGGCGCCGTGACCGCTGCTGGGGGCACGCTGAGCTTTGTGCGCAACCGAGCGCTGCTGCCGCGGATGGTGTTGGTGAGCCTGTCGCTCTCGGCTGGGGCGCATTTGAGGGTTGCGTGCAACGACGTTGGTGGACGTGTCCTGTCGACGGCGGAGGAGTACGCAGCGGCCGGTTTTGGCGACGCTGGGAGCATCGACGTTGTTGGGTGCGACGCCTGCGACAGGGACACGTACTGCTACGCGCCCGGGACAGCGTCGGCGAGCATGGAGAACGGTGTGTGCGTGTGCGCGTGCGGCAGTGGCGGGTACGGCGAGGCGTGTGTGCCTGTGGGAGCTCCCGCGCTGCCGCCCGCTGTGGGCACTGCGTCGAGTGTGTTTGTCCGCGAGGGCGTGACGGTGCAGTCGGTGTTCGTTGTGCCTGCCGGCGCGAGCGAGGTGACGCTGCGCCACGTTGTGCTGGACGGCGTGAGTCCTGTGCTCTACGTGCCGTGGATGGCGCGGGACGGCGTGCGGATCGTTGTGCAGAACGTGTCGCTGCTGAACGGTGCTGTGCTGTACGTGATGGGCGGTGGAGCGTTGCGCGGTGCGGGTGCGGCGGGGAGCGACGAGAGCGGGCCGGTGGAGCTGTCGGTGTGCGATGTGGAGGCGCTGAACGGTGCGCTTGTGCTGACCGGCACGTTTCCCGCGGGGTCTGTGCTGACGGTGACGGACTCCCTGCTGGTTGCCGCGAGGTCTACGCCGCTTGTGTATCTTCCCGGCTCGCGGTCTGCGCCGTACGCACCGGTGCTGGTGCTGTCGGGCCTGCGGCTCGTGCGGTCCGTGCTGGTTGTGTCCGACGTTGCTCTTGTGACCGTGATGACTGGTGGGCGGACGGTGGTGGTGGACGGCGCCGTGCTGGAGCTTGTCGGTGGCGGTGTCGCGGTGGACGCGGCTGTGTTCGGTGGCGACTTTGCGTTGTACGCGAGTGCGCGCGTGGTTGCGTCGGGGGGCGCTGTGCTGCGCGTGTCGGGGAGCCAGGTGTACGCCGCGCATGGGTTGGTGCTTGACGGCGGGGTGGAGGCCAACGCGTCCGCCGTCGTAGTGAACGACAACGTCGGTGCGCTGACCGATGGCGCGCTGCTGGTGCTTCGGGGGTCGGCATCGTTTGCGTCCGGGTCGTGGCTGTCGGTGCGCGGCAACAGCATCAGCGGCAGGCTTTTGTCGGTGCCGTCGTACCCGCGCAGCGCGGAATTTGCGCAGAGCACGCTGACGCTCCACGGGAACGCCGGCAGTGGGCCCGTCGTGATGGACGGCACCGTTACGCTTGGAGGCGCCGGCCGAAGGTTCGTTGTGGGGTGCCTGACGCTCAAAGGGCAGGCGCTGCAGCCGATGGACTACAGGTCTGCCGGCATCATCGGGAAGTTCCGTCCTGTGGCGTGTGGCGTGTGCGACGCCGACGTGAACTGCTTTGCTGCTGCGACGAGGGCGATGTCGGGATCGTGCCGCTGCCGCTGTGCTGATGGCGGGTACGGGCGCGACTGCCTGCCGGTGTACCTGCCGCACGTGGACGGGTGCAACCGCACGCCTGCCCCGCCGCTGCTGAGCCACACGGCGACGCTGACGGAGACGCGCAGCCCGACGCAAACGCCAACGTGGACGTCAGTGTGGACGCCGAGTCAGAGCACGACGCACTACAGTCCGACGCAGTACGGGCCGACGGAGACGTTGCAGGTGACGGAGACGGTGGCGCTGCCGCCCACGCGGACCCCGACAGTTTCGGTGAGCAGCACGCTGTGGTGGGGCGACGTGGCGTGCCCGACGCTCGCCGTGACGACGACGGCGGCTGGTGGGAGCCTGACGCAGAGCGACATCCGCGGCGGTGGGAGCGCCGTCCCGACACGGCTGATGGTGGCGCTGCCGCCGCCGTTTCGGTGGGCAAGCGACCCGCAGCTTGGCACGCACCTGAGCTTTGTGCCTACATCGACGGCGCAGCCGAGCGGCTTCGGTGGTCCGTGGGGAGCGATGCTGAGCAACGCGACGTGGGTGCGCAACGCGACGAATCCGTCCACCGTCCTGGAGCTGGCTGTGCCCGTGCACCGCGGTTACTTCATTGCTGCCGACGAGACGATAGTCATTCGCTGCGACGCTGCGGCGGTGTCCGGCGGCTGCAAGGGTGTGCTGCTTGGGTCCTTCACGATCGCGTCCAACACGCTGCCCGTCGCTGCCAGCGCCCTCTCTGCGATCACCGGCGTTGTTGCGGGTGCGGCTGCTGTTGCCGTGGTGGTGACCGGCGGGCTGGGCTCCGTTTTGGAGGTGCAGGCGCTCGGCGTGTTTGCGAGGATGTCATGCGCCTCGGCGCAGGAGCGTGAAAGCACCGTTGCGCTGCCGTACTTCCTGTCGGTGTTCGCTGCCCTTGATCCGCTGTGGATGGTGGTGGGCAACGTGCTGCTTGCCGCTGTGTTCGGGTGCGTGCACTACGGTGTGACGGCCGCCTTCCAGCGGTGGCGCGGCGTGGACGCGGCGAGTGCGTGGGCTGCGATGCGCTTCCCGAGCCTGACGTACGTCGTGGCGCACGCGATGCATCTCGGCATCTTCTTCGGCTCGGTGTCCGCACTGGCGATGCCCGGCGCCCGCGTGCAGCACCGCGTGATCGGTGTCGTTGGCGTGCTGTACGGTGCGGCGTTCCCTGCTGGCGTGTGCTACTTGATTGCCCGCCACACGGGCGCGAGCTTTACGAAGTACTGGCAGTTTTCGAGGAAGCCGTTGCACGAGCGCCTGCTGTACCCCGTCGGGTATTGGTACCCCGCAGTGCAGCAGCGGATGTACGGCGGCATGCTGACGAACATGAGGGGTAGCCGCGTGTACTGGTGCGTGTTCCAGCTGTCGGTGCTGTGTGTGGTGGGCCTGATTGCGGCTGTGCATCCGCCCGTGGGAGGCTGCCACGTCCAGTACTTCTGCATGGCGGCTGTGCTGCTTGCGGGTGCGGGCGTGGTTGCCTTCACGAACATGATGCGCTCGGCCCTCCTGACGGTGTTGCAGACTGCGAGCTTTGTGCTGCTTGCGGCGCTGTGTCTGATCAGCGCGGCCAACCACCTTGCGCCGAGCGACGGCGGTGCGAGGGCGTACGCGACTATCGTGCTGCTGCTGGCCGCTGTGCTGGTTACGGTCACCGTGTACAGCATGGTTGTGTGGTACGCGGAGGACCGCCACTGGCAGGAGCTGCGCGAGCCGCGGCGTGGAGGGCTGGAGGCGCTGCTGCGCGATGGCGAGGAGAGCGACGAAGAAACGCAGAAGCCCCACGACATGACGTCATCGTCGTACGCCTCAGGCACCACCGTTGCGTCGTCGTACCGACCACCCGCACCGCCGCTGCAGCTCATGGCCGGTGACACCTGCTCAGACGCGCTGAGTCTGCTTGACCGTGCATCCAGTGCGAGCTGCGGCATTAATTATACCGCTCTGGACAGGTGAAGATGCTCCGCTTGACGAAACATTTAGCGCAGTTTCTTTTTTAGGTGTAAGGGCTCCGACCCAACAGTACCGTTGTGCGGCGAGAAGACACAAGGCCCCTCGCAGATGCGGCATGACGTAGATGCGTCTGGCAGGTATCTTCTCTCTTTCCATTATTCATAGATTGATCGGGTGATTGATTTGTTGCTTTTATTTTATCGATTATCGACGACAACGGATTATCGAGGTATCACGCTGTTCCGGGGCGGATGCGCAACGTCTCTCTGTGTGTGTGTGTGTGTGCGTGTGCGTGTGTATGTGTTTTGCGCCCGCCGCTGCAGCACCGAATATGAGGGCTGGTACTCTCTCTTTCATATCTGTACTCAGTAGTGAGGACGTGCTCGACGATGGTGGTTGTGTGCGGGCCATAGGATGCATTCAGGAAGGCGTTAGGGAAAACAATCGATGAAGTCCTTCTGTGACGCGTCACCTTCTGGAGGTTGTGAGTGCGCGTTGCTGGCTGACATGAGGGAGGGCGTGGGGGCCACGGCTGTGCAGCTGCGCAGCCACCCATCGGACTCCGCCCCGACAGCGTCATTGATTGTTGGTTTGTTTTTATTTTTTTGTGGGTGCCTGCAGTGACTCTCTTTCTCCTGTTCCACGATGACTGTGTGGGAGGGCATGCCTGTCACTCTTCGCATTTCTGGTGTTGCGTGGGAAGAACAACAAGGGAAAGAAAGAAGAAGTATGCGGAATGATGTATTTCTTTGTGTATGCATATACTGGTGCATTCTTTTGGATCACTCTTGTGGTTCCTCCTCTTTTTTCTTTTTTTGCATTTCTACACACGTGTTTTAGTGTCGCTTTAGTACGGCCACAGGGTAGCTTGAGTCGCGGGTAGTTTTTCTTTTTGATGTCATTTCCTGTTAGGTGCTGACGCGGGCACGTTCGTTAAGCATCCACTCTCCACAGCATGGTGCCTGGTATTTTGGAGTCATCCCGGATGTAACGCCGGCGCCACCGCCGTGGCACGCAAGGGAAGTAAGATTTAACGCGGGACAGCAAAGGTATTGTGCTGCACATGTGTCTGTTGCATTTGTTCTGTTGAGGAGGTCTTTAATGTAGAAGAAGAGGGATGAACACTGCACGATGCTGTGGCTTGGAGGAGTTGTTGCCCCCTTTTTTTATTGTTGGTATTTTCTCTAGTTCCCACCCTGTCTGCCCCGATCGCTTCCCCTGAGTGGAGCTGCGCCATGGCCATCCTTTTTGTTGTTTGCAGGAGGAAAAGCACATGGCGAGTGGCGAAACCACACGTCATGCATGCGGCGTCCAGGGAGGTACATATTTTAGGTGGAGTGCACATATGTGGATGTCATGTGATACGAAACGGGGGTTGACTGCCCAACCGTCACTTCTTTTCTGGAGAGTGTGCTCTTACTTTTTTTGTTGCCCTTTTGTGTCGGGGCACGGCGGGATTGGAGATCGCCGTCGCACGAAGGGCCTTGCACAAATACACACTCTCATGCCACTGTCGTCTCCGAATTTGGGTGCAAAACCCAAATCTCTGCTGCTTTTTTGCATTGGCGCAATTATTTTTGTTTATTATTAACTGACGCCATTCTGTCCGGTGTGTCACTTTGATTGGATTGTGTGGGATTGCTCGCCAACACCATCGAACAAAACAGGCTGAAACATTCGCGTATTTAAATGCCGTCTTGCGCGGAAGTACCTTTTCACTTGCTCTGTTGATGTGCACTCAAGTAGCGAGGAATCCGGAAAAAATTGTGTGTGCAATTTGTCCTGCCATGTGAACTGCGGGCAACACCGCGGGGCTGCCACTTTTACTTCACAGGGTGGTTGTGTCTCTTTGCAGGGTTGGCAGGGAGATTCCGTGCAGCCTGCTACTGCTGCTGTGTGCTTAAATGCTACTCCATGCGAATAATGTGCTTCAGCGTGTGAGGGGGTTGATTGGGTTTGTGTGCACTCTGATTATGTTTGCTACTTTGAGCGAGCACGCAACACTTGATGGGTGGGAAAAATGGAGCGGGGCGATGCATGGCCGCGTCTCGCCCATTGTTCACTGAACGATGGTGTGGTGCACATTGTGGTGCTGACTCTGCGATGTGACTGCGGTCTCCTGTGCGGCAATGGCGGTGGGTGGGGGAGGGTGCTTGCCCGCTGCTGGACGGTGGGATTGTGCATCCTTTTTCCTTCTTTTTGAAGATGCGCACTTATTTTTAGTGTCAGTGATGGGGCAAACAAACAGACAACGTGAATAAAACAAAATAAAAAAGGACGATAGTGTGGTGGTGGGCCTCGACTGTTTCACCGACAGGCGTTGCATTGTGGCTGCATGGCGCACCGACCACCCCGCCATACGAGTGCTACGCCCAACGTCATTGAGACTGCAGGATGAAACGGCCGCGACTGCTCTTTGGAGCCAGCGGCACCTGCTGGCCGCAGTTGGGCGGTGCGAGTGGGATGCTTTACCGCACGGGTGTTGTGGTGGCACCTTACCGCGGCATCTCCGGCGATGGTTCCGACGCTGCAACTCGCAGAGGGGTGGAGGGAACGCGGCGACCAAAGTGGACTTTTGACCGTTGGCTGGAAAGAGAGCTGCTGGAGGCAAAGGAGCGCATCACCAAAATGAGACTGAATGATTTCCTTTGGAATTATTTTGACGGCAGGGGCGTTGTGGAATTCAATGCGAGGGTCTATTTGAAGGACGTTTTAAGTAGCCCCACGAAGTTCATCCACGAAGAAGTGTCATTGAGCACAATAAAGGCATCGCCGCCATACCAAGAGCTGAAAAAGAGCGTGAGGAGATGCCCATGATATTGGGGGTTTTACATATGCTTAGAAAAGAGCGTATTTTCACTCTCAGGCAATGGAGGGAATTTAAAAGAAGGGATGCGGTCATTCCTCTTGCAAGGGCACAAATAAACAACGCCTTTTCTCAGGTACTGAGAGGAAAGAGGCGGGAGGCGGAGGAAATGGCAAGGCGAGAACGACAAGAACCGGGAATTGACGTTTCCACTAGGATTAAGTATGCGGTGTTTGAGGGAAGATTTCGCGTGGATGAAATGAAGCTGAATGATTTTTTTGCGATGGAATTGGACGGCAGAGGGCGTTGTGAACACCAATCGGAATGTCTTGCTGGAGGGGTTTTTAAGGACCCCGAGAACTATATTGGCGATGCGGGAGTATTGGGCGAAATACAGACAACATATCGTTACAAGAGGATGGAGAGGGCTGTAAGGGATGAAATGGATATGGAGGAAGGTGTAGACAAACTTTACGATAATGGTGTGGACAATCTAATGTAGTGGTTGCTGGCGGTTGCGGAGGTAAAAGCAAGTGTTCATGGAGTCACTAAAATGTTTTTGGATGCTGCCGCCGAGGAATCGAGAAACCCAACGAAGTCGAGTGCACCGAGATGCCTGGAGGGAGTGTACGAGTCTGTGTACGTTGCGAGGTGGCATCATGTCGTGGAAGTTCCTGGCGGCGGAGGAACGGGAATGGATGTGAGGGAGGGTGAGCCACCGCAGTCACGGACGTACAAGGCAGTTGGCGACACTCTCGAAAAGGATGACGGTGTGGAGCAATCCGGTGCACCGCGTCGCAGGCTGATGGTGCTCACCTTGGACAAGGGAAGGGCCGTGCTCGTGGAAATGGAAGGAGGATGAATAAATCCACTCGTGACTGCTATGTGAACTGTGAGGTGGATCGGGCGTGGCAGATCGTCAAGGGAGATCTGACCGAATGGTTCAGCAGTCACTGTGGGAACGACTTTAGGCCTGAGCGGCATGTTTTGATTGGGACGCCCGGGATAGGAAGCCGATGGCTGCCGGTTCGTACCTCCTCTACCAGCTGCCGCACTGCGATGTCGAGAAACTCCAATTGGCTGTCTACAGTGTTGGTGGAGGTGCGGCGTAAGTGTTTGACGAGACCATCAAGACGGTGACAAGATACGTGGGTGGTAAAGCATGCAAGAGGTTTTTGTGTGATTTGTGGGATTGTGGGATGAAAGTGTATATTATCTACGATGTGACAGAGAAAGGGACACCGCCAGAAAAAGGTTCTGTACTTTCAGCTGAATGGGGCATGATTGTGGCGTCACCACTAAACGTGCGCAACTATGATGAATGGGAGACGCAAATAAAAGCCGGGCGAATCATCGTGAAGAGCACCGAAGAGATGGATGTGAGGGCGATGTTTGCGTGGATGAAGCGTGACGAGACTGCGGAGAAAAAAACGGAATACTGGAAAGAGGTCAAAGAACGCATGGATAACGTGGGGCCGATTCCACGTTACATCTTTGATGCGAATAAGTTCATTGCACACTCTGCTGCCATTGAGGATGCCTTGGATGGGATGAAGTTTCAGGATGGTGAAAAGCACTTTACACATTGGGGAGTGAGACTGTGGTATTCTGAGGATCCGTCTCAAAAGCTCGTGAGTGTTGTCAGAGCAAGAGGAGAATTCGTTGCTGAGGGATTTCTTAACGCACCGATATCTGTTTGCCTCGGGCGTCGAATACCGCACTATTTTGGGAGACGCGATGAGTGATGGGGATTTAGTTCTGTTGCTAGTATTTGGAAAGAGGAGTACTCTTTTGTGTGAATGTATGGGAGGGTTTGGCTTGCGCTCATTCGTGTTTGGTGGAGCTTGCCGCTGCATTAGTAGGGGACCTCAATGAGCTGAGGCCACCAGCACGTCGTGGAGGACAGTACGCAGTGCTGAAGGCGAACCCTGGAGGACACCCCGCCGAGTTGTATGTGGAGTGGTTGTAATGGGATACCACACAAATAATAATATGAAGTATCGGCTGCTGTGCATACCGGCGGTCGCAAACTTTCCGCTGGTGGACGCCTTTTTCTTCGTGAAGTCAATACCAGTGACGCTGGTTGGGCTGCAGATGGCTACGGCGAGTGAGCATCACACCGCCGCTAGCACTGTGAGGCAGTTCACGGAGTGCCTGGTGGCATATTTTGATGGTTGGGAGGAATCTTCCCGAGACATGTCGTGGGAGATTATTTATATGCAGCAGGCAGACAGCACAGCGGTGAATGGCTGGCAGAGATGTGGTGCCTTCAATGCCAATAATTTGAGCGACGATGAAAACCAAAAAATTGCGGCGTTTTGGAAGGAAAAGGTGCGCCATTACCAAGTGTCAATATGATCCGGAGACTTTAGAAGAGACAAGGCTCATCGAATTGTGGAATAACCACTGAAATGGGAAAACAAATTGGGGGATGAAAAGTGAACGAGACAGCTTGATTTTTGGTAAAAAGTGCTGTGGGAGTTATATATTTTTGGATACTTTTGTGTGCATGCGGTGCGGGTGCACCAGCCCCAGACGGCAGCATTACACAGATTTTAGAACGGTCCAACTCTATCGAACATAACAGTGGCAGAAGAAAATTAGGGAGGGAGTGGGGTTGTTTGGTTTTTGGTGAAAAACATTGGGTGGTTTTTATGTAGTATCTTGATTGTGTGTGCATACGAGGCATAATTGGAGAATTGCCCCGGTATGAGGGAATCATTGCGGCTGGCGGTGTCACGGCGTTACTGCATTTTCCATTTTATTCTATTGTGTTCTAAGGCCCATCAATAACAGAAGCAGCTTTAAGGGATGGACGACGAATAAGTTCTATTGAGGAAGCAGTGCGCTCCTTGTGACCGCATGGAGTGAGGCGCCGCATCCCATTGAGGGCGAGACGGCATTTTTGTGCTGGCGTCATTGTTGATTCCCCTTGCGATTTCGTGCTTGAGTGCGACATCGTGGCGCCAGGGTCCAGCACCCCGTATTGCCGGGAGAAGCCAAGAGCCGGCAATATTTCCCTCATGGGATTGTTGTTGGCGCAATGCAGACGGCATCTACCGGCACCCGGACCAGCTGCGTCGTGTCGGAACACAGTTGTGGCACTACGAGGTGTGAGGGCACGTGCTACCGCAGTGCGGACCATCGGACTTATTTGGGAAAGCACGAGGGAAACAATAGAAGCACATCTGTGAGTTCTGCAGCAAACTGGCGCGGATGCTCTCTTTATTGAGAATGGACAATGCGATGGTGGGCCCTGTGCCTGTTGCCATGCACTCTCATAGGAACGTGTTTAATATGGCGCGTCTTTTTGTGCAAAGGTCTCCGTGTGCCAACGCGGCAGGGAAACACGATTGGAGGTGCCAGAGGTCCTTCCCGGAACGGCACTGGAGTGCGGGGTTCCCGGAGTCGGTCGCTCGCCGAGGCGGGGACGGCTCTCAGGGATTGCCCCGAGGCTGCTTCTTAATGCCGTTGTGATTGTTGACGGCGAATTGTTGATTGGAGAGCGAGAGTGTGCGTGCCACCGTGTGATTCCTCACAGTGGGCACTCGTTGGAGTGATGCATGTGCTTGCCTCACGGATACGGTGTTAGGGATCCTTGTTTCACGTTATTCGGTGGTGCAGCGGTGAGCGGAAACGTGATGCAGTCCATGAGCCGCACGGGCGGGGTGGACACGGTTACATGAGCCTGTGGAGGACCCGAGCAGATCCAAGTGTACTATGCGGTTTGGGTCTACAAGGAAGGAAGAAACACTGGGCGGCTGAGGGGAGTTGCAATGCACGCGGCTGCAGAAGATGACATGCGTTGCTGAGTTCACTTTGACTGCCACTTTGGATGCTTTTTCTCGAGGCCGTGAATCCCTTCAAATTTACTTGGAGGTGCTTGATGACACCAGTTGTGGAAGGCATTTTCATTTCATACGAGGATGGCACACGGGAGAAAAGGACGAAAGAGAGCGACGCCTCGCCAAAGGAGCGGCTGCTGGAACGTTGACGAGACTCGGGATTGTTTGCACGGCCAGCTGCTTGCCCTCGGTAGGATGTTCCTTGAGGCGTTCATTGGCGCGAGTGTGAGGTGCACGTACGGGCAGGCACCGCAACAACAGTGTCGTTGTTTCTCCATCGCACGAATAAGACGACGCACGTCAGGCGTGGCAGCTGACACCCTCTGCGAACCTCCTCCCTTCTCTGTTTCACATCTTGGCGTTTTCTGCATGCGGACACCGCTCCCATTGGCCGCCCTCTGTGACACGAGAGCCGCCTGTATTCCTCTCCATCGCATTAAAGAGTCGTGAGGAGGGTTTGAGGGTACGTTGAGGAGCCGTGTGGTCTCTGCGAGCCTGTCCTCTGTTTTTTATAGGTGTTGAATTTTGGATTGCCGAAACGCACCTTGAGTGCTTGCGTTGGAGGCACACATAACTGAGGGACAGGCGTGTTTGTGGAAGTGAAGGAGGGCCACGCCATTGGGAGGAGGAAGAGTGAATGGGCGGGTGGGTGGTGTCTGTGGCCCATATGTGGTGCCCGACTGGTGCTTCACTGTGTTTGTTGTTATTATCATTTGCATCCACAAAGAATGGCTTTGGGTGCTGCTTCCCCCAACCCTCTCTTACTGTGTCTTTGTGCTGCGTGTTTGTGAGCATGGCTCTTCTTCCGTGCTGTGCATTTGCCGCGCAAGCTGCTGATGGTTTGTGTGGAATATGTGATGATTTGCGGCACTTTTTGGGTTGTGCTTTGATCTCCGCCGCGGGATGGCAGCCGGATTGGGGGCGTTACTTTTTCTTTACTGTGATCACGTGCGATGTGTATTGGAGGCCTCTCGGGGAAGCGCCAGCCAACCTTGTCGTGGAACATATGTATGATGCCACACCATTTATTGACGTGGAATGAGTTGGGGTTTTGCGTATAAGCTTCTGTGCATTCTTGCCGTGGTGCTCCTCACGCATAGCCCGGGGGTCACGGATGATGCATGGGGCAGGCAGAACTTTGTGCATGGCGGGGTGAGGAGACGAAGGGCTGATTGTTTGATTGTTAGCGACGAGTCCTGCCTCACTGCTTGGAGGGGGCTGTAGTGGACTGGGGAAAGCTGTTTTGTGTGTCCAGACACTGCTTGCGCCGAGTGGCGGGGTGCCATTTTGGTGTGTGCGGCTCCATCATGCGGGGCAGCAGAGCGTGACGTTTACGGACTGCGTGTCTGTGAGCTGATGAACGTGGTTGGAGGCTTGTCTGAGGAGAATCCGCGAAAGGAGGACTGACATGCGGTTGGCGGTGCTGCTGTGCGGTGTGCGAGAGAAGAAGAAAAACAATTGCTTTCTGACATGTTGGTGAGTGTGCCACGGCCACCAATGAGTTTTCAGGGAGAGGGACAGGAGGGAGGGAGACGGAGACTGTACGCGTCCACTGCGGCGTGTGGTGCCACAGGATGCGGTTGCCATTGCGACCGGTGCAACGGTCGTCATGCGTGGAGCAGAGCGTCACCTGCATCTTTTTGTCTGCAGAGCTTGCAGGTGCCGCGAGGAGGTGCAGGCGACCTCTCATCATTGGGTTGCTGAGGCCGGTTTTCCTCTCTGTTCAGCAGGAGGGGCAACTATTCCTGCAAGTGGTGTGCTTTTCTGCATCGATACACCCAACGGGTTGTCACGCAGCCGTGTCGTTGCAGTGCCACTCTTGTGTCCTTCACTTCACACGTGGCCCTCTCTCATTTGTCTTGTTTGCAGGACCGTGGCCTTCGGTCCCCCATTAGGAGGCTGCTCACATTTTGAAATTATTTTTTTATGCTTTTGAGGGGTGCTGGAGAATAATGGCTGCGGGGATGGTCATGTTGTGGTTCGCTGTGAGTGGTGGCGGTGTGTACTGCTGTTGTACTGTCTTTTTGCCGCTGTCGTTTCCTTTCCACTTGTGAACACAGACGCACGC